CAGAGACACACCTAAAACTCAAATGCTGATATCCGGGAGGGGGGAAGCTACCTGATAGGCCATATCGAAGAAGGGGATGATTTTTCTGGTCTTAATGATCTCTCCAATGCGTTTCCATTGCTCCATGGAGGGATCGACACCAGTGGGATTGTGCGCGCAGGCATGGAGAAGGACGGTGTGGCCTTCGGGTATCTTGGAAAGGTCCTCGAAACAACCAGCAGAATCGAAGCCACAGGTTGATGGATCATAGTAACGATAGAAGTTCACATTCATTCCAGAATCCCTGAATTCGAAGTGTAGAAACAATGATAAGCCGACAAGACAACAAAGGCACAATAAAGTGAACGGGATTAAATTTGCGGGAACTCACTTAAAGACAGGAATGTGGTTGGCCCAAGTTGGCTTAGGCATCCACACGTCCTTGTGCTTGGTGAACCGGCCCTAGATTAACGAAAACATTTCGTTCTTAGACTGACGCCGTTTATTTTCTTGGCAAGTACAGTAAACAATTTGAGACCAATATCAGAAGCTGACTGAGGAAAGTCATAAAGGCTGGAAATATACGCGCTTTTTGGATGGATAGTAACTTCCGTAAACAGCACATCTAAGTTAGTGCATATGAAGTTTGCAAAAAAAACACCTATTACTGATTTGCATATTTTCATGCGATTTACACTTCCCAGTCTCCATACACCCTAAACTGAAGTATGCTTTCGTGGCACAAACTGTAATGTGAAAATACTATGCTCCATGATGTTGTGGAGAATGGGACTCGTCAATTTTTTCTCTAAATCTAAGGCAGACAGATTGTTCGGTTTCGATTATTTGTATATAAGAGATTTGTTAATTTCCAAAGAACAGTCCGAAAGATGGTCAATGAAAAAAAGTACGTACAAGAAAAGCGGCGCCGATCCTCAGAGAACCAGTGCCAGAGAGACATTGGCTGGTGCAGTTCTGGAAGATAAATGGAGATATTGAGATTTCGCAAAGAATTATACAAATATATAATTAATATAATTTCACTCTTTGTACATAAGAAGCAGATAATAATTTTTTTTAAATTTACCCTTTCTTCTTTCAGAGCTTTGCAGTTCGGTCCCAGAGCAAATTCGATGGCAAGTCGGGAAAAGACGGCGTTGCCAGTGATTGGCTGATACTCTTTATCCAGATTCTTTTCTACAATGCGGAGCTCAGCTTTACGGACAGACGGCAAAACCCACGGTTTGCAGTCGTCATCACGATATGCTCCGACACCCAAGTTCACCTTCTTGGGATTAGTGTCACGTTTAAATGCCTCAGTAATGCCAAGGATGGCATCCGGTGGCCCCATCGGAACATCAGCCCACATCTTGCGAGGTTTTCAAAACTATATAAAAAGACCAGTGTAAGTTACAAAAAAGGTAAGACGAAGTAATTTGGACATTTTGAATGAAACTTAAAAAGTAGATAAAAACTGTGAGGACCAAATGAATGCGTACAGAGTAAAGTCAACCAACCACAAAAACAGCCGATCCGAAAAGCGTGCAAAAAACACTTATATAGCGCGCGTCCAAGGTCATTTGGTATGAATGATTGGTAGTGTAATAGATGAAGCTGAGTCGTCCACCTCGGTGTGTTTTAATGGTCGTTCACTCACTCCTTTTCCTCTTTTCAGAACTGGTGCCAGGAAGCAGGCTTCGGCGTTTATACCGACCGTAACTGAGCCGTTCTGACCCGTCCGTTA